TGTCGAAGAAAGAGGGGGGGAAGGGGGGGGCCTTTTTCAAAAAAATCAAAAAAAAAAAAAAAAAAAAAAAAAAAAGTAGAGTCCCTGGGTATAGTAAGTGTCTCCGTGTAATCCAAACACATGGAGGGCAGAAGCAGGAGAACTGCTCTAAGTTTGAAGGCTGCCTGGTCTGTTCTCTAGTTACTGTAGTGACCCTATATGTAGCACAATTTATTAACCGAAGCTATTAAGGCATTTTTGGGGAGCCTGGAATTGTTCAATAGAACACATGATACTACAATGGACATCTTCACATGTAAACTCTGTAATTTTCAAAACTTCCTAAAACTTGATTTAGAAGAAGTACAATTATCAGAGTTGAAAGCATTGAAAAGTGCCTATTTGACCAGACCCTCGGTACTTGATTTTGGGAAATGTTCCTATTTTGTGATCTGCACTACAACACTCATCTCCATTAAAAAACAAAACTGCCAATTCGAGGTATACCATTCCTATGTTTATAAATACTAGGATAAAAATGAAAACATTCTAATACAACATTTTAATGTTTTTTTAAATTTTAAAAGTAAACAGATTATCTGAGTTATGTAAGCAATTTAATCAAGAGCTGTAGAAAAGGATATAATAACATTCATTAATGTAAGATTTTAGGCTGACAATACTGGAGTTAAACTGTGAAGAGCAACAATAAACACTGCCCAGTTCAGACCAGCATGCCTTCTCACGCAGTTTGTGTGAGGGATTTGATTCCCTTGCTCTACCATTCCATTCAACTTTGGAAATTTTGTAATTTCATACTACTTAACATGAAATAAAAGGCAAAGAAATCTTAAAATGTAAGATGACTGTAAAAAGCAGAATTTAGTAAGAACTGAGACATTTTCTTGAGGTGAGTAAGCATCTTTATACCTTAATAATGTATATCCTGAGAAATAATCATTCAAAGGATTCCTGTCCATGTTACACATGCCACTACCACAACATGGCACTCATAGAACACAGGGTCTGTGAGGAAACAGCTGACAAGCAGAGAAGTGACAGTGTGTGCAGTCCCAAATTCTGAGCTAGACTTGGCGCAGTTGTCTTGAATGCAGCACAGCAAGAGCCTCTACAGTGAGTGGGTGGAACGGGAAAAGACAGCAGGCTGACAAGCAGACGGCACTCTACAGGAAAAGTGAGCTGTACCTCCCCTTCCACAGGCTCACCAGATCACAAGAGTTAGCCCACATGGGCTAGGTAACTCCTAGTATCTCTAAATGAGCGATCTATCAAGGCCCCCCCCAGGCCAGGGACACTGGGAGTAGCTTTCAAAGAATGTCTCCAACCAGTTCTATTGTCTCTCCCTCTGAGCCAGCTTTTGGCTAAAGAACCAAAAGAGTAAAGAAAGAAAGTGAACTTCTACACTATCCTCAACTGTCCTTTATCTGTTACTTTGTGTTTTGACTTCCTATTAATAAAAATGAAGTAACATAATTGGAGCATCCTAATTCCTTGGAAACAATGGCCCTGTATATAGTCTACAAGTTAACCTGAAGTATCTAGAAAACCCAGAAAAAAGACCCCCCGCCCCAAATAAACAAAAACAAAAACAAAAAAAACCAACCCTCAGGGAAGTACCTACTCAATGCTATGTGAGAGCAAGGTAGAGAACTGAGTACTGCTGGGATCACAGCATGAAAAGGAAACGAACCTGGGCTGTAAACTCCATTTTAGTTTTGTGAATTTTCAGCATATTTTCTGTTTTAGAACAGGTAATTTTTCTTCCTTGGAAAGTTTCACTGAATTTGAAAAGATGAAGAACACAAGTTACCACTGTAGCTGATTTTTTTTGTTGTTTCACTGGAAAGTCCAGGAAAGACAAAAACAACAACAACAAAAAAACCTGTACAATGGTTTGTTAGCAAAGGTAAACCTAATTTAGTGTGTAATATATGTCAATGAGCTAAAAGAACTTTAATTCATATTCTAGTCACTGGTTTGACAAGTACTTTTTTCCCTTTCCCATCGCAACACTGTTTAGGAGAATCAAATTAAGTTGCCTAGATTTCTCACTGAATTCCGTGGGAGCAGCGCCTCTACTCTGCTTCAACCTGATGAGCACCGTGACTGTCACTTCCTTAAATATACAAAGTTTTCTAACTAAAATTTAGATGCAATTTTAGTCTCTATACCTTTGTAACAAAGTTAAAATAACAAATGCATTTGTTAATATCTGACTCCTTTCAGAGACAAATGATAGCTACCAGGGCTAACTACTACTAGTCATAGAGGTCAGAAAATCCAAATATAGTTGGGGATATCAAAAGGCCAGTTTTTTTAAAGGTTTAGGTAGCAAAGTAGATATTTTGAAATTAAAATTAAGATAGCTACTAGAGGGGCTCAGCGGTTAAGAGCACTGACTGCTCTTGCAGGGGACCTGGGTTCCATTCCCAGCACCCACATGGCAGCTATGAACTGTCCTTAACTCCAGTTCCAGGGGAAATCTGAAGCCCTCTTCTGACCTCCGTGGCATTGCACAACATGGGTACACTCACACACATGCAGACAATACACTCATACACATAAAATAAAAATAATAAAATTTAAAAAAAAAGATAGCTCCTAGAGAAAAAGGTAACGAATGAAAACCACAAAAAAATTATGGAAATAATCAGATTTAGTTATTTCAGATTAAAAAAAAAAAAAGCAATCAAGAAATATGTTTTTCTTGCTTCACCCTCTCCTGTCACTTTCTTGAGGACAGTGGCTACTTAGTATGTCTATTCGTAATTTCCCAGAATGTGCTAAGAGTAACACTTCATTTGTCACTGAAATATTTCCCCATTATGAAGAGGGTCCACTTAGTATCTCAACCTGAAGAAACAAAACCTAGAAAGTTTCAGAGCCACTACTAAACTTACAAATCACAATGGTGGCTATTACTATAGAAATGCAACCTCATTGGGGGAGTAGCAATATCCTATTCAGTACTGAGACCTGCTGTCCAGAAGGAATCTGGCAAACACTAGGAAAGAATTCTTCCTGTGGCATTTAGTGATTTATGTGGAAAAGAACAGTAAGTAATGTTAAGTCAATTTAAAGACACATAAAAAGAATCAGGAATGTATTAAAATGAGCTCTAGATTACTCATCTAATGAAATTAAGAAACTCTTAAGACAAATAGGAGAAGCCAGAAAAAACAATCAACAAAGACGTAATTTGTATGACTGAGTTTCAACAAACCTTCCCTGCTGCTTGTCGATCACTTTTGAAAACGACAGTCTCCTCATTAACTGGAGGGAGGTTAGTCATAGACTCAATTATTACTGGAAAATAGACAAAGAACAGATTATATTTTAAAGGCTTAAATGGAAAAAATGTAAAATTTCAGAATCTAAGCTTTTAAGTGCAATATAATTTACAAAATTTTTGGTGAAATAACATCTTCCTAACTAGTCTTCTTCAGTAAAGAAAATCTTAATTATTACAACAGCAAAGGGGAGACAGGTTGGAGATATTTTTGTTTAATACAAAAACTTCAATTCCAAGAAAAAATTAAAATACAAAATCTAACAGAAAATACTAGTTGCTCACCAGTTTTGAACAAATTCAAGTATTATACATTTTCAAGCATTATTTACCAAAAAAATAACATCAACATTTAGTCACAAATCTTCTGTTTGAGAACACTGAAAATCTTTGCTGCAAAGTTCTGATGAACAGTACTGACAAATGAAAAGGGTGATCTAAATGATTCATAAAAGGATCTTCCTCTGAGCACATAAAATACAGGTGACAGGCCCACAATAATTTCTATCATACATAACTGCCCTTCTCAAAAAGCAAAGGCTTATGTATTATCCCACCGGTCTAGCATAATCTCCCATTCTTGTTAATGCTACAGGTTTTAAACTGATCTGCCACAGCAATGTGCAAAACAGTAAATTCTAGAAAATTACAGCAACACAGAATATCAGTATACTACACAGATAATGACAAGTGAAATGCACTACTCATATTGTTAAAAGTATCTGAAAAAATTTCTTTTGTATCTCAATTAATTTCTGCAATTAGTAGGCCTATACTCTATAAACACACATGGTCCTGGGTCAATGTTTTTTTTTAAATACACTCTGCTTCTGGGATACAGATGAGTAAGGACTGATAGTGGTAGCACTTAATAACAAAACTCATCTACAATCATACCTATACTCTGAAGCCCTTTCCTGGAAAGTCAAATTAATGAAAACTGAAGGTCACCTAAACAAAACCTGCAATTTTATGGATAAGAAAAGGACTCAGTAAATCAGCATCAGCAGATGGCCGGGTCCAGGAGGAGTTATCACCACAACTTTAATCCCCAGTTCCCATGCTCTTCCTGTAACAAGGCAACTACTTCTGCAGACTTGTTCTCTTGGGATGATGATTCTGGGGGGCAAGCCATTTCAGGTAACTGGGGCATACTGCTTAAAACTGACAAGTGCCACTAGGCCAAAATTATTAACCTCAAGACCCTTCTCAACCCATCTAGTTGGATGATACCTAATTTTATTTTCCCTTATAGTTTTCAAATTAAAACCAAACCAAACCACAACAAATAATCCAGAAGGCCTTACAGAACTACAGGGTACAATGTCAAATTCTGTCTCTGCATCTTCCAGTTTGCATTTGAATTCATAGCCTATTGCACTAAGGTTCATTTTTTTCTTACCTGTAATATAGTCAAAATAACATCACAAAATTTAGACTGTCTCAACACAGGTCATTGTGTACTGATTTTTGATTCACTTATTCCACACCTACCAAATTAAACATTTTGTTTACTATAATGTCAGTCACAGTATTATCTTTAAAATTCTTAAAAATATTTATTTTTATTTCATGTGTAGGAGTGTACTGCCTGCATGTATCTAAGTGTACCCATGTTGTGCAATGCTCATGGAGGTCAGAAGAAGGCATCAGAACTGGAGTTAGGGACTACTGTTAGCCACCATGTGGGTGCTGGAATTTAAATCCCGGTCTTCTGCCAAGAATAGTCAGTGTTTTTAACCGCTGAGCCATTTCTCCAGCCCCCACAGTATTATCTTTAAAAAGCATTACTCCACGCACATCAAATAACTAACGTTTATTTCCCTGAGGATCAACATTGTGATGTAGAAATTTGTATACATAAAGTATGTTAGATTCATACTGCTTTAAGATGTTACTTTCCTGTCTGATCACCTATGCATATCATTACTATCACAAAGTGAGGCTGGTAAGATGGCTTAGTGAGTAAAAGTACTTGCCGCCACGCCTGACAATGGTGTTTAATCCCTGGGACCCACATGGTAGAAAGAGAGAACTCAGTTATCTAAGTTGTCCTCTGACCTCCACATACACAATAAATGATAAAATTTACTTTAAATTTAGATTACTAAATTGAAGATTATAAAATTACGTTAAGTATTAATTTTTTAAAACACTGACACTTTAGAGAAGTGCTAACCACTTCTTGTACACCTGCTCAGAGGAGTAAGTGGCTTGAATTCTTCTGTGTAGGTTCTGTAAATTAAGAGGTTTAGTTCCTTTCTGAAAAACAATTTAGTTCCTTTTTCAAACTTAAAAATCCAGAGGCGGGCTGGGCGTGGTGGCACACGCCTTTAATCCCAGCACTTGAGAGGCAGAGGCAGGTGGATCTTTGTGAGTTCAAGGCCTGCCTGGTCTACATAGTGAGTTCCAGGCCAGCTGGGGCTACAGGGAGACCCTGTCTCAAAAAGGCAAAAAAAAAGAAAAAAAAATCCAGAGGCAAATGGATCTCTGTGAGTTCCAAGCTAGCCTTTTCAATAGTGAGACTCTGCCTCAAAAATATTTTTTTAATTAAAAAATAAACCGTTTTGAAATTGAAAAATCCTATTACCTTCTCAGCTCCAAGTTGACTTACAGATTTGTATCACTGTAAGAGTTAATGGTTGCTCCTGGATGACCACCATAACTAGGTGGTAAGAGCCTACAGCTTTAAGATACCACATACTTTTGGTTTCAGGCTATAGAGAATTCAAGCTGAAACTGACTAGGAAAGCTTCCTTCCTGCTGGTTAGCTCTCACAGTGCCACAGCTGCTATTCAGGCTGCTGGGGAAAAAGCAACATCCATAGTCTTAACTCAGAAGGGGGCTCCTATTAAACCTATCAGTCTGTCAGACAAGAGGTGCCCACTGGTGCAATAGTAGCATGATTGCTATGGGGCAACCAATTGCTTTCTGATTAGACTTGAGGCCTGTAGCAGAGGAAGGAATTCACGTTTGGCATTCGTGAGTTGACAGCTGCTGTGTAAGTGACAGCCATGTTTCCTTGGGGGTGTGGCCACTGATAGGTTGCTCATCCTCAGTGGGTGGCCCCACACCCATGTGCATATACACAGCACTAACTGGACTTAGTGGGTTATTTAAAAGAAAAGTGAGAACATGAAGTTGGGAGGGGGATGTATTTTTTTGGGGGGGGGTGGTTCTAGGGAAGTTGGAAATGGGAGAATGGGAGATGGATACAATCAAAACTTAGAAAAAAAATATATGTGAAATTCTCCAAGAATAAACAAAAAATATTTTATTTCAAAATTATTTAATGGTATTTACAATAACTTCAAAATATTTCATATACCTACCTCACATTTTAGCATTCAAGAGATCTAAAGTATCTACTTTTCATATTTCATGACATTGTTATCAGTATTAAATCACAGAACTTTCTAACTTACACCTATAAAATCAAAGGTGGTAGACAAACAGTCCCCCCAAATATTCACAGACTAGTCTCTGAATATGTAAAATATGCTACCTTACATTTAAAAGGAAGACTTAGCAATGTGAGGGTTAAGGACTGTAAGGGTCAGAGGAAAGCAGTAGGTACCCATGACACCCTCCTGCCTAGCCTAGGGTTTCACTACCTACACTTAGCTATAACTCACTTGCTGCTATGATCAGGGTCAGCTCAAGTTCATTTGGCTTTTCTACACTGGGCATACCAGTCTTCCATCAGCTCACTTACTCTTTGGAATAAGGAAAGGAAGAGCAAGGAGGCTTCCTGGGAAAAGTACCAAAAAGATAGGAAGAACACTGAGTGGGTTGAGGAGGAGAAAACTTAGCACAGGGCCTTGTAGAGCCAGTTACTTTAGCCTTTGGCTGTTCAGTTTTCTACTGACATGTACCATTTATCCTCAGCCAGTCCAGGGTTTATGGACTTCTTATCTTTGGGTAGGGGTCAGAATCTTGAAGGCAAATCTCTACATTTTCTACACATAATACCTGTTCAGGGACAAAGTTAACAGCCCTCAGGCTCCTCAGAGCCAAAGAAGGAGGCATTGTGGGAGGGCCCTCCTCATCCTCAGGAGGTACTGCTTCTACTGTCTTTGCTGGGGGTGTAGAGAACCTTTCCAACCAGTGGTCAAAAGCAGATGTAATGCTGGGAGAAGGAGAAAAGATAAGTTCTTGGCTTTAAAGATGAAGGGAAGTATGAGAGAAGAAACATGGGCAGGGTCTAGAAATCACAAGGAGCAAAGCAATGGATTCCCTGCCAAGCATTCAAGAAAGAAGCCTATAGAAAGAGCCTTCAGAAAGGAACTCAGCATTGTGCGCCACCTTGATTTTAGCTCATGAAGACCAGAAGATTACAGGTCCACAGAGCTCTGAAATAGCCCTAAAATGAATCTGTGCTGTTGCAAGCCACCAAATTGGAGGCAATTTATTATATAGCAAATACAATAAACCAAATCAAAGAAAATTCTGAAAAGTCAGCAAAAATATTTCTCAACTTTATAGAAAAAATATATTTTATTCATGTAACTAAAAACTGGATTTTATACTGCCAAACTTAATGATTAAGATGAAATATATATGTCTAAGAAAATTTACTAGCTATCAAGTCCTTGATCTAATTATAAGTACATGCTTGAGCATAAATTTTGTTAATAAACTTATTTACGTACCTAATTGTTCAATAATGCTTGAAACCATCCCAAGAGGCTTTAATTCAATGTCTTCAGGCAGAATAATAGTGAGTTCTTCAACAGAAGGCAGTTCCTATAGTGGAAAAAAAAAGCATTAGTCTTCCTCCATCTTCTATAACTTAAAAAAAGAGAAACATTTTTCATATAAAGTGCTGCAGAGATGGTTAAAGATGTAACATTAAGAGCTTAAAGCATTACTTTGATGTTTCCTTTGTAGTGGCTGCATGGGCTTCTGATTGCTTTTCTCCTTCCTAAGTGGTTCTGTAAGTCTAGAATCTAAGTCCAGTTAGACTAAGAATATAGAATTAAGTACCATTCTAGATGTTTTTCAATCACACTTGAACAAGAGCTGACGTCTTTGAAGAAAAGCTACTATTATGGAATCTACAGACATGAAGAGAACTCTACTGAGATCTACCATTCTTTCACAGCAGGAAAAAAGCTCTCTCTTTGAGCTGTTCTGTTAATTTGGTTAATTAATTAATTTGACTGTAATTAAATAGAACACACAAGCAGCAATTTTTCTGGAGCTTGTATTCAGAGTGAAGCCTAGGGGGGAAAAAGGCAACGACACCTATCACTCAAATGTGCAACTTTTCAAACTAGAAGGCAGCCTGTAAAAATAAAGCTGGAACAGCATTACCTCATACCTTCTAAGGTAAAAAATAAAATTCTTTACACCTACAGACTTCTTTTTCGACCCAACTGTAAACTATACCCCAGTTGCTATAGAAACAAAAAAACTGAAGTAGAGATGAAGCTGAAACAAAATCTAAGAATAAAAAAGCCATTAGCCTTCGCATTAAATAAACAGAGCTCTCTGTCCTTGACCCTTGTGCCAAATGGTATTCCTCCAAAAGGCTTGAAAGGGAAAGGCCCTGAAATAACATGATTGTTGCTAACTGGGAGAAGGATGATGTTTGGAGAGATGCTGAGGAAGACGGGAAAATCTAAATACAAAGTATACAATGCAAATGATGCTTCATGGGTGATCATCTTCCCTATGTGAATTAAACAGCTTTTTAAGATTATTTAACCAGAGTTGAACAATATACAACTAAAATATAGTTCCCCTTTTTCAATGACTATTTAGGAAGAGATACATGAAGGGTCTCAACCAACTCAATGCAGAAGAAAGTCAGCAATTTCAATTTACCTCTGTATGGCTGAAGAATGTCTAGTAGTAGAGGAAATAATTCTGTCTTATTTCTCAGGATTTTTCTGAGTATTTTCAAGGAGAGGATAACCACTTGCAGTTTTAAAATACTGAATGCAGAGATTTTTTTTTTCTAAGATTTTGCTCTGAAAGTGAGATTGATGTGAATGTATCAGACACTGAAAAGCCTCTCAGAACAAGTCCTTAGTGCGAGTATGTCTATGTGCGCCTGTTTCCCAGCACACCCGAGGTGAGAACAGGAGGGTTAAGAAGGTCAAGGCCAGTCTGAGCTATATGAGACCCTGTCTAAGAAGGAAGTCATCAGTTAAGGAGGACCACCACAACTTGTTAAATGTGACAGAATGTAATGTATATAATGTGATGGTATGACACAGAACAATGCAAAGCAAAATCCAAAGTTCCCTTAGCCTATCCTTGTCACCCAGCTATACCACATAAAGTCACTGCTACCAGTCTGTGGATCCTTCAAAATATTCACTACGCAGATACAAGCTTTATCTGATACTACACCTCAATAACATATCCATGTTGTAATGCTAGTTATCCTTCCTATATCTACTATAGCCTGCACATTTCCTAGTATTAAACTTAACTATATACCCAACTGCATTTAATATTTACTCTATTCTACCCTAAAGGCATATCATAATTTAATACAATAAGCACACAATATATTTACCTGTGCTCAAAAAATTGCCATACAATATAGATTTTTTACATGTCTTTGTGTAACTCTTCTGATAAGTAGACTTGCTATATTAAAGTATATAAATATTTTAAATTTTGACATATACTTGCTAAATTTACTCTTGAAACTGTTATATCAATTCACACTTCCTATATCCTGCCATTACTGAGAAGCAAAATTATAATCTCTGCCAGTTGATATAAAATAGGTATAAAATAGTATCTTGCTTTAATTTGAGCTTCAATGTTAAGGCTATCCCTTACACATCTCTTGGTGATTCATGTGTTTATGAACTGTGTATGTAATTCATGTAATTTTCTTCTAGAAGACTCATTTTATTAATTTTTAAGAGAACCCTGAAATTTTAAGGATATTTGCCCATTTGCCCTATTTCAAGAATACAGCAAATATCCTCCCTGACCCTAGCATGTTTCTCAGCATTTAACGTGCTTAGTAAACATTCAACACTTATGAGTTCATTTTAAAGGCCCACTGGGTTTTTTTTGTTTTTTTTTTTTTTTCATTTCTTTAGTTTCATCTGTCAGTATCTGTATATTTGGTCCACTCATTCTTTTATTTATTGAATTTTTGTGATTTTCATACAATTTGTTGGTATTTAGATCCCTTCCTTTATCTTTACCTCCCCTTATCATGTCCCCCCTCAATTTAGTCTGCTCTATTATAGACATAATAAGGCCTACAGAGTCTAATTTGTGTCCTCAAATGTCTTCAGTGTGAGTCCATCCACTGGAGCCTGGTCAACCTACCAAGAGTCCCATCCTTGAAAGATACTGCCTTTCCTTCTCCCAGCAGCCATCGGTTACCAAAAGTTCCTTAGGCTGGGTTGGGATTACTTACCCACTTTCTTATGTCTATGCTGGGATTTTGTCTGTTTTGAGCTTGCAGATTTGTGCATGCTGTCACCACTGCTGTCAGTTCATATGAGTAAGATACCAGCTGTCTGGAATACTCTATTTCTTGTGATCATCTACCACCTCTGGCTCTTACAATCTTTCTTCCCCCTCTTCTGCAATGATCCCTGAGCCTTGGGAGGCAGAAGTTTGATACAGGTGTCCTATTCAGATAACCACTCCGCGCACTTTTTTTCTGTGCACATTGGTGAGTTTTGAGTTTCTGTGTTAATCACCATCTGCTGCATAAGGGAACCTCTGGTGAGAGTTAAAAGACACACTAATCTATGAGTTTAACAACCAGAACTTTATGTTAAGACCCTAGTAATGAAGATAATAATACATGAACTGTAGAATAAACAAGGAAAAATTAAACTGGTGATGACTTCAAAGTCTCATCTCTACTTTCATAGTGGAATGTGGTATGGATGCTTTCTCTTGTTCAGATAATTCCCATAAAGAATCAGTTTAAGTAACTAGGAAATGACAGTAAGTAATGTGAAAAATAACTTGTAACAAGCCTAAATGCTTATTATGAAAGATATAAAAAACTACTATAGTATAATCTGCATCAGTACTAACACTAATGACACAATGGTTCTGAAGTTTATCTAGTAAAATAAACATTTAAGAGCAGTTAGAATAATTCCATGGGGAAAATATTGATAGAGGGGAAGTAGCTCTTTCCAAATACTGAAACATGTTATGAAAAAACACAAAGCACTGACAGTGTCACAGATCAGCCTGGGAAACAAAATAATAATAACTCAGATGTGAATCCTGTGAACTCCAACAACTGGCCTGGCAAAATCTGCCCATTGGTGCAATAGTGGCACAAACACTATAGGAGCAACCAACCATTCTCTAATTGGGCTGTTATTTTTATTTGTATGTATATGAGTGTTTTGCCTCCATGTATGTAAGTACATTATGTACATGCAATACCCACGGATGCCAGACAAGGATGTCAGATTCCCTGGAACTGGAGTTACTGATGGTTGTAAGCTGCCATGTGGGTGCTGGGAACTGAACCCAGGTCCTTTGCAAGAGCAGTCAGGGCTCTTAACTGCTGAGGCATCGCTCCCCAGCCTCATTCATTATTTTACCCTTGTATAAAAATGAAGCAGAAGCCAGGCATGGTGGCGCATGCCTTTAAATCCCAGCACTCGGGAGGCAGAGGCAGGCGGATCTTTGAGACTTCAAGGCCAGCCTGGTCTACATAGTGAGTTCCAGGACAGCTGGTGCTACAAGGAGACCCTGTCTCTAAAAAGAACAAAAGCAGAAATTGTCACTGTCTTTATCATTACTCAAATGACTAGCCAGCAATTTCTATAAGATTATAGAACAATTTCCTTCCCAGACTGATTTGAAAAAAAAAGACTTCAATATACTGTTTCTGTTTTCATGAAATTACAATTTAGTTTCATTGATCTGTGATACTGTCATTAGTTTGTGGTTTTCATAACATGTTTCAGTATTTGGAAAGAGCTCCACCAATATTTTCCCCATGGAATTTTTCTAACTGCTCTTATATGCTTATTTTACTAGATAAACTTCAGAACCATTTTGTCATTAGTGTTGTTAGTATTGATAGAGATAACATTATATTTTTTTTTATAGCCTTCATAATAAGCATTTAGGCTTGTTAATAGCTATTTTTCATATTACTTGCTATTGGCATTTTCTAGTTATTTAAATTGATTCTTTATGGGGATAGTCTGAACAAAAGAAAGGATCATGCTTCAGTTTATTTCTAAAAATTCCTGTATCACTATACATACATACTTTCAAAAAAGACATCCTCCCTTTCAAGACTAATACATCAGATTTTCACTTTTGTAATCATTATTGGCATTTCAGAATGTTGACTGTTGAGCAATTGTGATAATAACGGGCATGATGTTATTTCTACTAAGAAATATTGCAAATATTAAGCATAATTATGCATTTTAATAAGGTTAAGAAAACAGACATCTATTCCTCTAAGATTAATAAAAATGACTACCGACTTTTATTAAATGACTTTTCATTATGTTTGACATTATTATTAACATAATTTCTGTAGATTGAGCAAACTTGGTTCTATAGTTTGATGACCACCTACTGCCTACTGCTCTACTCTAAGGAGTATCTGAAGGAGAAACAAAAAATATACAGCACCAGAGAACTAAGGCAGGCACTCAGTCTTGCAGTCAGAAAGGAAATCTGGTAGGTTTCTCACTACTTTGTTTTTACCATTATTACAACAATGAAAAGTTCCAGCTAAACATGAGGAGGATTTTTTATTTCATATAGAA